AATTAAATGAGATATTAAAGGCAGCGTTCGAGAACTTCGGCACAGTCCTGCTCGCCCCAACGGACGCAGTAATAACTAATCGTAAAATATTGGCCCATGAATCAAATGTCCGCACCACTCGAGAGTTTCACAATTCAGGCCCAACCAGGTGTTGTGCTGATATATGAAGGCCTGGCTGTCCACACACAGAGCACCACGGTGGTAAATCGACCTCCATAACTCGGCGGGTGGCGTTGGCCCGACAAACCGGCCGCCGGCTAACCTGTACTTAACAAGCCCGGCAAGACGCGGCGTGAATAACGACCTCTGCACGGCGCGACTTAATCACGGCGGAGTCAGGGTGGTCGCTCGCCGGCCGATGGCTCGGTCTCACGAGCTAGAGCCAGAGCGAGACCCTTCACAGCAGCCTTCTGTCTTAGCCAGCCGGGGAAAGTCTCATCACCGCCATCGCCTCTCTGTCTTCCACTCCATCCCCATCCAGCCGGCGACTTCCTCGGCTTTCTCCCCAATGCCACCATGGGCGACCACGCCCTCCCCCGTCAGTCTGAGTTCCAGCGACACGGGCGCAGTGGAGCGCGAGGCTTTAATGAGCGGAGCCGTACACATTCGAGAGCCGGGCCCACGAATGAGGGAGGTGGTAAAAAGCAGCGGCTGTCTGTAGGAGCCCAGGCACACTCTGAGGCACTCAACCCAAGATCACGCCCAACTCGAGCCTAACTAGCACTCGGCGAGCGTCAAACTTGACTAAAACTAGCAGGTAACTCGCGCAAATTCAGGTGGAATTCGTCTGGCTTTTTGTAGACCAGACTGTTGCCTGGCCAAGATCAGGGTTTGAGACTTCAGTGGAGGAATTATCATGTCAGGTGTAGCTTCAGCAGCTGGCCCATCACGAGCGTTGGCGACATGTTAATGGGCTCCAGATGATAGCCTGTGCCACGCCTTGTTGTAAGAACACACAACATTGTGTTTATTCCTCTGCAGGTATAAACACAAGAAGTGCGACAGCAATTTGATGCTTTGTAAGGTAAGCCTGCAAAAGTTCAATAGTAATTATGCGTGTTAATCATGTAAGCGGCACAGTGCGAAAGTGTACTAACCAAACAGCACCTTGCCCCAAAGCACATAGTTCTGCTTCATATGTATAACGAATGTATCCATAATGCATGTACCGTGCTTCTTCGGTGGGCGGTTCGGCTCGCGATAATCAGCACCCACCAGTCACCCTCGGAGGCCGCTGGACGGGTCCGGGCCGGAGGGGCGCAGTCCGCCCGAGCTCCGCACCTCTGACAACTCAATTAGCCGGGCGGACGGGCCGACCGGCCGGCAGGCTCCGGGCTCCACCGGCAGAAAGATTGCCGAGGAGGCTCTCCGGAATCTTCAAAATCGTGCCGCGCCTGATTCCAGGTGACGGCCGCCTCCCCACGCACAGCGAGATCAAACGCGCCGCGGACGCCGGAGCAGAGCGGCAGGAAAAAACGGACAACTTCTGACGAGGTTTCTCAAGAACTGTGGCTCGCGGCACGCCAGGCTGAGATTCAGACGTGCCTCATCCAGCGTTGTGAAATCCTCAGCAGAGTATTTCGATTAGAGATCAAACCACCCTCACACATGCGTACACGATAACATATACAGTACACACGGATTACTTACATCCAGGAATGCTACCGATAACCTAACTTCTTAACCCTTTCATATAACACACATACTCCGGGCACCCAGCCATGTCGTTTCATTTCGTCTAAGCACCAGCGGAACCCGGGACGGGGTAGATACGATCGGAGCAATTTCGTGCTCGGCGGGTGTCTCCCCGTGAGCCGACACCGGACGGAGCGGGATGCGGTAGCGGCTAGGATGGATAAGGGAGCAGAGCCACCTAGCCCGACCGCAAACGGATGGGTTGAGAAGACGCGGTCTTGGTGGTGATTTCATGGCGAGTCTTGTTCCACTTGATGAGCAAACAACAGCTAAGCTGATGGGCATATAACTAAGAACGATTTCCCGAAAGAAAGGGCGTAGATATCTTGAGCCGACGATGTGCGAGTCAGATACCTCGGCTCTGCGTGCGGAAAAACTACACCTTTATGGCTCCGTCAACACAGCACACTGCGTGTGTCTGACTAAGATAATCACACCAATGAAAAACGCCCGTACATTTCCTCGCATGGGTGTGCAATTTATTTTCAGATTGCGGCTGTCATAGCATGTCGCACGGCAGTTTATCTCGCCTCAGCAGGCAGAAGGGAACAGACACCATCCGACACATCAGCATCTTTTAATTTCCGCTTCATTTCACCTATCCCGACAGGAATCTTCCAGCACCTCGAACGGAGACGCGTACCATTTCCTCAAGGATTTCCTGATATCTAGCTAGTAACTTGCTCAAAAGGTCCGGATAAATAAATTAATTTACGACCAAAACGTTTCATCAAGAAGCATTGAAAATATGCGACTTGATTCCGAACAAGAAGTGCCCGAGTTAGAGGGTGTGTTATCTTTGTTCACGAAATGAGCATGACGTTATGCATTTCTCACTTATCAATGCTCGTGACGGTCTAACGATGATACCTCCGGCTAACCACCAACTCTCAGCAGGTAGCCGGCAGAATTATTCGTCGGCGCCGCGTGCTTATGCACATCAAACCATCGATAACCATACATTACGAGGTGACCGATTAGGTCCGACTCAGACAGACACTGTATTTGTGTAAGCCACTTATCTGCCGCGCCGTAACTCATCCCCGACGCGCCGCCTGCACGATGCGGTGTTCGCGAAACTCCTTCCCCACAGGGCCCGGCGCTCTCCCTCGCGCGAACCGATCTCCGCGTCTGTATGTTTGTGTGTGCGCCAGAAGCCAGCCAAGGAGTTACGCGCTGCCATTGGCCTAATGAGGCCCCAGCGAGGGGAGGCCGGAAAAAGCCAATCAGTCTCCGGTAGCCTGATCGGATCTCTCGAGTGCGCAGGGGTCACCGCCAGATGGCGAAGAACACTCGGCCCTCCACAGCAGCCGGATCTGGCACTCGTGGGAGCTGATTTGGCGGACACTTGGGAGTTGGATTTTCAGGCTCGTGAGGACCGAGTCCCAGGACAACAGGATCTGGATCCCTGAGACGATGGGGAGTGGACTTGGCACGTGCTTCAGCGCCGCTCCAGCAAATGAACACGAATCGCTACTCGGCCCCCGCTCATATCTTATTGTGGTAGATGGGATATGGGATGAGGAGAGGACCGCGTACTGAGGAAAGCCGTGGAATGGAAGCAGGGCGGACTAAAGCTGAATGAATTCGATAATGCGGATCCATTCAGACATGTCATCAGATACCATGTACGAACTGAATACAGTACGAACTAGATACAAGCAAACTTACAGTACGAACTAAATGAAAGTAAATGCTAGGGGCCACCAACTACTCATTGAGGCAAATCATGACATCCAGGCAATAATAAGCTCTGCCAGACCAGTTCCACTTTTTTGTTTCGAAAAATTTATCAATTTGAAAGCTAGCGGCTCCAACAATTCCGCTATACATTAACCATCAGCCACCGCCAAGCTTGACCTTGTACATACACTAATCCCCGCTATTCCAAACAAATCCAGCTGTCCATTAATCCACCGCCCATCCACCCACCTTTTCCCACTTTCCATCAGCCCGCCATTCCACCATCATCCACCATTCTGCCCATCAGCCACTACCGACCCTCACATACCACCGCACCACCCAGACGCCTTTACACGCCCCATCCCAGACCGCACGACCTACAGACGCCGTAAAATGTTTCATCTGGCCCCGAAACGTCGTCAGCGGCGAGCGGAGACGTCGTCCGCTCCTGGAGACGACCGGCGCCGCCGCCGCCGCCGATTCAGCATCGCGGTGTGGGAGGTGACGGCCGAGCACTCCCACTTCATACCGCCGCCGTCGTCCTTTGATGAAACGGCGGCGGCGGTGGATTTACATCGAAATCTGCCGCTCGGCGCCGCCCGACGAGCGGACGCCGAGGAATGCAGAGCCGGCCGCGGCGCGCCCGTATCGCGGCAGGTCCTCGGTCCGACGAGAACACCCACCGCAAGTCTGAACGTTGGCGGGTTGACCTGTCCTCACGTGCGGTACGCCGGCGATTGACACAGACATGCCGCAAGACAATGGCGTCGATGACCGATCGCAGAGCGCGTGCTACGAGCTCAGAGGTGCTACCGACGAAGACACCTCATGGCACCAGGCACCTCCGCAGAGATTGAACCCTTTGGCTTGTGTCGCCGCACACGACAGTAAGGTGTTCCGCTGAACCGTACACGGAACAAATGGGTAGTCGACAAATCATCAATTGACAGATGATTTAGTCAGCTCATAAAGGAATGACGCAAACGAAGCCACAATGACATACCCGCTGCGGTTTGAGGAGATTTGATTAGTTTTCAGCTTATCTGTAAGCCTTTATTAATGGCTGCAAACTTTGCCAACCACAACAAAGGAGCTTTTCGTAAAACTTGCACTGGTGTGGCATGGTATTCATCGCGAGGGCCAACGGCTTCCTCAGTTTGAGCAGCAGACAGCTGCCCAAAACTTGTAGGCCTTCTAGAACAAAGCATATCCATCCAACGTCGGTCAGCGCGCCTTGGCTTAAACATCCGCTATAAGCGTTACATACCGAGTGACTTACGCCTATTATGAGTCCGCCGGTGCAGGATGAGCAGCCAGCCTTGAACAGACCGTATAGTCGCAAAGCCACAGTTACGAAGAATATGTCAATTCTACAAACATCTCAAACGCATCAATCATCAACATACAAGCCATAAGCCATTCCGCTTTCGGAATCCAAATATGACAAGGAATGTTAATTTGACTCGTCAGTCATAGATGTGCCTGCGAATCCTATTAGCTTCCTGTAAAACCACATCTGCAAAAAATATGCAACACAACAGCGTTTACGCGGCGGCCCAATATGGAAAGCACGCCTGCCTAGATTACATATCGGATGTGTACAGCTATGTTGCCACGCGTACCTTTATGATGTCTGACTCGATGTGTGAAGAATGGCTGCTGGTAGAAGCCGTCGAAGCCGTCGTAGCTATCCGCTGAGACGACGGCCAGCAGGACAGCCGCTGTCAGGCTTAGTCCCGCAACGCCGCGCGTGGCACCCATCGCGAGGGGCCTCGTAGCACCGTCACGTCACTCTGAGCCGTCACGTCGCGTACACTGACGTCTTGAACGTCACCGGGCGTCACTCGCGTGCACTGGATATCCACGAGTCACCAGGTAGCCGTCAGAGTTGTCACCTTAGAAGATTTCCCTGCCAGTTGCGGGCCACTCCCGCCGGCCTGCGCGGTTCGCCCAATCTCCGCCGTGAGCCCTAGCCCTCCTCCTTCGACGGGTGTCGGGGGCTGTTTTCACACTGTAGGGCTTCTGGGTCGCATGCCCGCACGGCTTAACTTGCCGTTGCCCGCCCAGGGGAGGGATTCACGCCAGTCACTGTCGAGCACGCAAACTGAGGTGCAAGGAAATATCCTGAGTTCACTGCGTCCTGGGCGAATACAGATGCGACGAAAGACGGGCGAGTACTTGCGTTTCCGAAGAACTTCGTCAATGCGGCCGTTGATGTGAATATACCTTGAACAAAAATATCACAACAGTTTCGGAACTTCACTATTTCTTCAAATATGCACTGTCGTCTTGCGAAATAAGCTGAAAACGGTGGTTATTTTCAGTCGCTGTTTCCGTCGGAGAACGGCTGACCCGCATCACCATGCCAAGAAAATCGCTATTGTGACACCACGCCGGCCTCCTGCACAAAACTACCCACACATCACGTGACAGGAAGTTACTGACATCGGCCAAACCGGCCTTTCGACACCGACCTCTGCCCTGCAGTCGCCGCCACTTCAGGTGCCAAGGAGCGTCGGGGCGCCTTCTACAATCAACCTGAAGACTGGCCGGCAAGCCGACTAGCCTTACCGGACCGGACCAGGCCGGGTCGGGCCGAGCCGGGTCGGGTCTGTGAGGGGCCATCCGTCATCTGTCCAGCATGTTTAGCGCAGGTGGATCGCGCCGACCGATAACAGCGTAACGAGTTCGTCTGACAAACCCATTACAGATAAGCGGGTGCCGCGATGTGAAACCTGCCGTACTGAGCTGAGGAGTGGCCGACTGGGGCGGCTCATCGGCGGCGTACTGCGGAGTGCGGACAGCGATGGAGAGCGAGAGATCGGAATGAGGTCCGGCTGGACGGTAGATCGCGGCAGAAGACAACGTGCTGATATGCAGTCTACATGTAACGCGGCAAAACAATTTAGCAAGGATCTTGTCATCTACAGCAAGGTTTATAAAACAAAAGAGAGACAAAAGCCTGCAGATACAGCGCTGCAGTCGGGCCCTGAAGCCTCAGAATCAGCGGCGCTCGTAGTCGTACCATCACCCAACTCGGAGTTTGTCAGCTCCCACTGCATGAATCAATATTTAGGGCGCCCTAACCCCGAACCAGCCCCCATTCCGAACTCCAACCCGTATCCAACTTTCCGCATGAAACAAATCCAATTCGACGGCAATGTCTGCACTCCCATCAGCAGGACCATTTGCCGGGCGCCACTGCTGACGCCGCCATCCGCAGCTGCAAGCTCGGCTTTGCCAGGCCGCCGCAGCCCGGACGCCGGCGCAGAGAGCTAGCCGTCAGGAAGCTCCCAGCATTGTGGGCGAGCAGCACACAATGGACATGACCGTGATATTTTACCAGTGGACACTGTGATATCAAAGCTAAGGAACTCTCAGCCGGTTGATACAGATGCGAATAGCTGAGCGGGCTAAAAGTGGTGGAGCCGTTTCAGAAAACACTTGCCCATTTTGTCTGTCAGAAATATGATACAACCAACTTTTGCTCGGGAGAAAGACGGAGTGCTGAAGGAATTGACATTGAATTAAAGATAAGCCAACGGCTGACCCGACTGAACGCACGCCAAATCACATGCCGACACATTCATGCGGCGTGTTAAATCAAGTAACATTTCGGAGTTACGTACTGCCGCTACTGAGGTCACCGGACATGCCCCAATCAATGCCCAATAATTATGTTGCAGTCTGAACCTTCAGATGGTCAATATAACTGATTAACGAGAAACGGGCTTGGGCTACCATAGATTGGTCGGATGTCTGGGCGACCTGACCTAAAAACAAACTCTGGATGTGGCAGCTGGCACGGATACGCTTATGCCACATGATGAAAAGCCACAAAGCTGATGGTTGCTAAGCATGGAGGCCAATAAAGCCAGGGACGCCATCAGTCCTTAGAATCTCTCGAGAACCATCAGAGCCGTCATCGCGGCCGTCATCCCCGCCATCAGGATGGCGTCATCACGGCCACATCGCCGGCGACAGGAGCGGCACTCGGCGACGGGCGCGCCCGACGGCTCCCTCTGATGACTGATGTGCGGCATTAGCGTCGCAGCCGCGCCGCCCCGACGTCGGCCATCGCGGGAACAAACCGGTCCGCTTCCACAGACGTCACGGCGGCCCGGCGCTGCTGATCGCGGAGTGCGATTAGCTGTCAATGACGAAATGAGCGACTGAGTGACCGCCCTGAGATTGTCTTGGAGGTGAGAAGGACGGTACTGTTCCGTTATGAAGGTTGGTGATGTATGGAAGCTGAAGATGCGGGCAATGGTGATGAGTACAGTAGATCGAACGCAGGAGGCCGGTGAGGTGTGACGAGCAAGCCGATACCGCAGTATCTAATCCTCCAGATAGGTGAACACGGGTCAGCCGTCCTCTCGAAACGGAGCGTATTCCACACAGCCATCCGCCTCACTACCCCACACTCTGCAAGCTCGACCACACCGCCCACCACCGACCTCACGAGCGCCGCGCGCCGCCACAACTGACAAGCGGCTCGGCTCGGTCGCCGAGGCCGGTTAGTGCCATACCGTGCCGCTAGGGGCGCTGCGGTCGGCGACGGCTGCCGCGCCGCGCTCAGGTGTCGAAGTTCCGCCCCCGTCTCGCCAGTTCACCGCTCGGCCTCCACGCGCAGCAAGGGCGGGCAGGGAAAAAGCCGCGGCCGTTTTTCCGCTGCCGACTTAATTAACACTGATGGAGCGGTCGAACGATTTGAGGTGGCCAGTTACAGGTAGGGAGGCACGCGGAGGGGGCGGGGGACGGACGGGAAGGGCGTCCTTACATCAGTGATATGGAGAACAGATCAAATTAACAGTCTGTGTGGATACGTCGCCATCTGGGCATCTCAGTTGGGTTTTTGAGCGCTTAAAAACCAGATCGCCGCTACGATCATGGCATCAAACGCCCTGCCAGGCGTCGGCGGACCAAAAACGAGCGGATTTCTGCGGCGCAAAAACCGGGGATAACTATCGTCTGCCGCCTCCGCGGCGCGCGCATTACAGCTCAGCCAAGCATACAGATGCCGATCGGTCGCGGCTCAGGGGACGTCGGAGGACAATGGTGTTGGCTCGACCTGGCCGGCCACCGGGACGGGCCACGGGAGCCGGTGTGGACCACCGGAGCGGTGCGTGGGACGAAGGGAGACGCGGGATTCCGGAACCGCCGCGACGGAGAGGTGTGTGGGAAGGTACGACGGGGACAGAGAGGCAGGTGGCGAGCGTTGACAGGACCCGGTCAGCGGCTGCTCCTGCTCAGCAGACACGAACACACGAACACGAAATCACGAACAGTACAGGGCAGTGGTGAGGACGAGTTCACACAGACAGATTCTAAAGGAGCGCGACGTGTCACCCGGACGGAGAGGAAAGACAAGGACTGGAAGGTCAAGGACTGTAAGGTAAGAACACAGCTCATGATGTCGTGTGGCATGTTTAAACTTCGACGACGTCACTGTACGTTGTTCCGGTCTCATGCCACCCCATGTAACAGAGGATCGGATTAAATGGCGCCAGATGTCTGATAAGCGATGGAAATGTAAGCAGCATGAGATAACGAGACAGCCAGCATGTGGTGAAAGACGGATGAGGTTCGCGTGAAATGTCACCATGCAACCCGTCTCGTTGCGGTGGACAGGTTATTGATAAATATTTCATCACATTGCAGATAGTGACTGACAGCAGCCATGACACTTTCAATCATTTCCAGTTTTAATCTATCAGCCTTTTATCCGTGACCTCCACATGTCCTCCATTTGAAGCCTCATTCTGAAGACTCCCGAAGGCCGAGCGTCTGTTTCTACAGTAGCTCTTCAGCCTGCCCCGACAGTTTGTCTCCACATCCTGTCCTCACTTCCCCAGTCTCCCTGTCAGCCGCTCCGGCCGCCCGCCGCCTGGTCAGCGCGGCTCTCTGCGGTCAGCGGTTAGCGGTCAGCGGCGGGCCGCTCGGTACGGCCGACCGATACCATCACCGTGCACGGGAAACAAATGAAGCGATCGGCCGGCCGGTGATTTAGCCCTGGGCGGCCGCTCGCCTCCTGCGATCGTATCGTCGCCGTATTAACGACGCCTGCAGAGCACGCTGCCGCCGCGCGGCCGCTGTTATTTACGCCGCACCGCCGCGCCGCCGGCCTGGCGGCTTCAAATGGAGGTGCATCGTCCAGGAGGTGGTACAGATGCACGCCAAGGTTTCGGCCGGCGGCGGCGAAGGAGGTGGGGAGGCGAGAAACAAAGCTGGTCGGATCGTGGGACGATATAACGGAGGAAAGGGAGGTAAGGCAGGCAATGGGGAGGGAGGTGATAGAAGCACTGCTGGCCGATGCGCTGGCAGTACGACAAAGAATGCAGGAAAGGTGAGAAGCGACATAGGGAGGAGAGGGCGGCCTACGAGACGTCTGAACGCGCCGACTGCCGGGCCTCTCATCGGTGTGAGCTGATGAGCTCGGTCCGAGGTGCAAGGAGTTCACGGAGTAAGGTCAGACGGTCAACGGCAACCCCGCGGCCGGCCGAACGCGGCGGGGTGCTGCAGGTGGCCCATGGATCACAGACTGCTGACGCGGCGAGGTGCTGCCGTCCGCAGAGTCTGATTTGACCGCACACCCAACCACCGGAATGCTGCTAGCGACAGTGATGGAGACAGCGACATCGGGCCATAAAGGGTGCTTAGATGTACCGACAAAAAGGTGCGATTTGTCCGTCCTCAGAAATCGTGTTCTTTCACACCACACAGAGGATAATGGTGAGCGCCAGCAGCCAATGTGTCACCAAGGCGCGACCATGAACTGCAATGGCGAAAGGACACAATCCGTTTACAGCATCGCATCAAAAAGCGGCAGCGAAAAACCGCAATCTTGATAGCCGGCGTCACGACAGGAACAAACCGGAAAGCAGCGTGGCGGCGACTTTTCACGAACTAGCCCCACACCCCTCCCCTTTACTAAACAGTTCACACTTCGCCAATTCCAAATGTAAAACGCTCTTAGCACCCAGATGACTGCTTGCCGATGAGACGTAGCTCCGGCTGGCCACCCAGGTCGGCTCGATAGAGTGGCAGGAGTTCCGGGTCAGTCGCATTCAGGCCTCCCACGACCGACCTGTGTCGGAGCGGCTACAAATCCCCGTCGGCATTCAGAGCAGGCCTGCCCGGCGGCCGAACACGCTGTAACTCAGGTCAGATGGGAGCTCCGGGCGGGCCCACCGGGAAAGGGGAGGGGTGGGTGGGTCAGCGGATCGGATATCGACAGAGGAAACGGGTCATCGACATCAACACCAACTTCAATGTCACCGCCGTCAGTACCTCCGCTGGTCTGACCGTCGGCCTTCCGCTGCATAAGCCACTAGAGACGGAGATAAGCCGCGGCCATGTTGTTACTTAATTGCCTAAAGGCCTGTTTAAGGGGACTACAGCGGAGACTTGCTTAATTTCTCCACAGCGGCGTCCACCGAGTGAGAACGGTCACTAACGGCAACCGGCCGGACGGCGAAACGCCGCAGAGATATTCTTAGATAATCGAGCGGCCGGCTGTACGCTAACGAGGTAATTTTTCACCGTCGCGCAAGGCCACCAGCTCGGAACAGACGGGTTCTGAGCCATACACCTTTTACATTCAGCCTTCAGCCCCCGAACATACCTTTACATGCTGGCAAAGTCACAGGGGACGGAGAGCTTGACCGAAGAGTGCAGTACAAGGTGACACAAGTCCGTTACAAAATGGGAGGCATTTTCCAAGCCTGTCGCCAGCGTCCGTTGCCCTGCGTCGGCCACAAAGACGGGACCGGGACCTGTCGACATGACCTCCGACCCTCAACCACTCATCCACAGCAACGACCGACGTCAAATCTTCCGAACAATCACCACTTCGGCAGCGTCGTGACTGAACAACACCGTCACGAGTGACGGACAACATCACTAGTCAGAAAACACACGACCGTGCCGGTGCCGGGCGCGGGATGCGGACAAAAAGCTGCCGCAGCGTCGGCAATAGGTCTCGGGCAAGTGTGAGACTGGATGCGTTCGACATGATAATCTTCCATGGAGTACCTGGGCACAGATCTCATATGCCGCTGTCATGACAATGACAATTAACTCCGTCCCAAACGTGCGCTGACCGTCCCAACCTGACCTATTACGACGAGGCAGGCTTCGCTCATCGCTGGACCCAGTATCATCTAGACCGGTCTAAAAATTATTGTGTGTACTTACACGACATAAATTGTTTAATGCCCAGCGGCCCGAATGACGCATGCTATGTTTAGTATCGCGCAGATCACTAGTTCATGCTTGATCACCATAAATAAGGCTTAGCGGAAAGATTTACCTACCGTTCAGGAATTTATGTTCAAAGCCAACAATAACGAGGAATTAAATTAACATAAATATTTGTGTGCGAGTGTCTTCATTCAGATCAAAACGTTAAGCCGATTATATCGTTCGTAATGTATGTGAACTTTCCGGTTAGTTTTAACCAGCACGTGAGCGTGGAATTGCAAGCAGGAAATAACTGCCGAGGATATCGATGCATCGCCATTCGGTTGCACTCAACACTTTAAGTGTAAAACCAAACACTATTACAATCAAAACTTGCGCATAGCATACTACACCTCCAACCACACAGGGTATAAGGTAAGGACTTGATAAGGACTTCACAAGACAACTTCAACTTCCACGTTGGTTGACAACTTCCAGATCCGCTTCCCGAGTGTCTCCTACCCCATCTACATCTCTTGCACGGTCGCCTATAGCGGGACTCAACCACACACGTCTCCACAAGCTCACCCCGTGCGCGCCTTTGGTCATCGCACAAATGGCTCTGTGTCGGCGGCGACAGGGCACTCCATCGTACGTAATCCGCGGAACATCTCGGCACAGACTGGACACGGCACACAGCGGGCCGACACCAAAACAAAACAGCGCCGCGCGTCTCTGAGGCGCCCGGGACGCTCCACCACCGCCCATGTATGGCCCGAGTGGCACGCGGAGGGTATCCCCGCAGCGGCGAGGGCGGCAGAGGAACAGCCGATTGTTTACAATCACTGTTCGGGCGGCTCTGTTGGTCTGACTGAGCGCATCCGGCACAGTGGCTCCCTTTAGGGGGCAGTTTATTCATCGGGCGCCAGTATCTGGCCGATGGTATGGCCCAGCCGGCCGAGGGTGGCCGGCTGCCAATGCTCCGTCAAGTTTTCCACATTCGACCGCGCCTACGAGCGGTCGTTAGATTACAGAAACGGGCCGTTTTTGGCGATGGGATGGAGTGCTCCGGCCCGGCGCCGCTGGCGTTCGAAGGAAGTCGGGCGGCACCAGACCAGCTGCCGGCCGCTCGCAGCAGAAAGGCTGCAGGTCCACGGGAGCAGTTCAGCAAAGGCGGTTTGTCGCAAACAGTTCTAAGAGATTGCCTGAGTCAAGGTATGCGATGAAAGAAGAAAAGCGCAGTGTCTACCGCACATCATCCTCTATTGCAGCCAACTGTAGAGGGTGATGAGACTCTCTCAGTAGTCTGAT